CCCCAAAACCCCAAAACCCCAAAACCCCATTAAAATTTCAAATAATTGAAAATAATTTACTCAAAATGTTGGAAGAAAAGCAAATGTTTTTGAAAAAGGCTTTTCAATTCAGTGCAGATAATCAATCTCAACCACAGTCTGAATTTCGGTAAGGACAAAAAGTAACACTTTAGGGAAAGTGTGAAGGAACTCGAACAACTCAGAATAGTTACAAAACCAGTTTACAATGATTTAAATAGCTATTTTGGTCAAATAAAAGGTGAAATGCCAACTTTTGGCTATCCATCTATTAACTTTGATGAAGAGGATCCATCAAGCTCAGTGTGGGGTAAAATGTATAGAAATATTCTTCAAGATACCTCTGTAAAAGAATTACACCTTAAAAGAATGCTCAAGGCATATAAGTAAGTCCTATGACCCTCCCAATATATGAATTATTCCTGTCATAATGTCATTTTTAGATCAGAAAAAGCTAAGGATAATAAATTACTAACAAAATTCGGTCTTGGACAGAAGATATCAATCAAAGACTTAAACCAACCCAACGATTCTAACGGTATTTTCTCCTCAAAACTCTTATTCTAGACAAACCTCCCAAACCTCGTTCTAAAACCAACCGAAATCACAAACGTACCTTCTTCCTCACCTCTAGTCTCCGCCAACCCCAAAATCCTCACTTCCAAGCACTCCCATTTCAACTCTCAAAATCCAGATTTCACCACTGAATCTCTTCAAGCTACTCTAAATTCCCAAAACTGCTCAACTAGCGCAAATCCTCACTACAAATCCTGCTTAACAAGTAAGGCTAAAATCAGGATAGATCCCAGAACCTAGCCGTGCAAGTAAGCCTAAGTGTATAACTTATAGGGAGAGGAACCAGCAATGATAAAATAAGGAGGATAAGGAAATCCCACCAGAGGCACACAAGTTTCACTAGTAGAAATATCGATAGAGACAATAAAGACAAAAAGAGAGTGGATTGCAGGAAAGAGAAATCATTAACTGCCAAGCATTTAAATAGGAAAAATCTCACTAAAATTACAGGTCCAAAGACTTCAAGAAGACATAGAGCTTCCTTAACTAAGTATTCTTCTAAATTGACTCGACTATTTCCTCATAAGAATAAAGTGACTAAGTAACACTTACCAGTTGAAGACCAAGAGGATGACGAAGATACTGCTTAGAATGAATGGAAGAGTGAATAAAGAGGTGAAAAGGTTGACTAAAGATATGAAGTTTATCCTTTAACTCTAAATGTGATAGATACGCCTGCTCTTAAATGTCCTTAATAGCACTAGAATTAAGCCTTTTCTCAGAGACTCGCTTCGCTAGGGATCTAAGCCTCACGGGCTCACTGCTCTGGGAAGAGAAGTCTGGATGGGCTAGGTTTTGACTTGAAAGATAATTTCAGAAATATCAACATTTAAAAGAAATTAAGTTTTAGTCAATTTTCTATTAAATTTTAGGGGTTTTGGGGTTTTGGGGTTTTGGGG